ACCTTGCGCTGTTCTGCTTATCGCGACTGCCATCGGGGTCTGCTTGTCGGGAGTCGAGATCGTCGTCCGTGCTATCACCTCAAATCCTGCCTTGACCTGGGTACTATGGCTGCGCATTGCTGCATGGGTAATGCTCGTGATCAACCTGTCATTTCTGACGGTGGAGAGGGAATGTACGACTCGCTTTATGCATGGCTGCTGGGCCAGTGTCGGTTGTCTGGCTATGCTGGCCATGCTTGCCAGCGAGGGATATCGCTATCATGAGGCCAATGAGCTCTCTGCTTTACAAAGGCTGTTTCTGCTAGGGCAGATATGCGCTGCGCTCGGTGCCTGCATCGCGGCTGCTTCTATCCCGCGTCGTCCGGACGTCTACCGCAATGATACCCTGGTGGATCGCAAATCATCGACTTCCCTCCTCAAAAGACTATCGTTTAGCTGGGTACAGGTTTCATTGCCTCCTGGTCAGAAACATCTTAAGGTCCACGAGGTACCCGAATTAGAATACTCCAACCGAACGTCAAATCTTTCCGGTCTTATGCGCGAGGCTCGCGCAACCTACCCATCCGGCACAAGCCTGTGGAAAATCCTCTGCATCTGCCATCGCAAAGCTCTAGCTTTTCAGCTCTGCCTGACTCTGGTCCATGCAGTTGTATCTTTTGCGCCTCAGTATGCCATCCTCAATATCTTGCAGCGACTCGAGAATGATCCAAATGACTCGTGGTTATGGCTACCAATCATCGGACTCGGCGCATCACTCATTTTCTCGGCGCTGCTTGAGAACTGGAATTATTACCATTCGTCTAACCGTATCGCTGTGCGGCTCCAGGAGCAGCTCTCAGCAGCTATTTATGATAAGGTTCTGAGTGGCAAAACAGCTCGGAGCGCACCGGTCGCAATGAGCAACGACGAGGATGAGCAAAGTACCATGAATCTCGTGGCCGTTGATGCGAAAAGGGTAGCCGACTTTTCTGCCCTTGGCTTTATGCTCTGCGACGCGCCGCTCAGAATCATAATCGCAGCCATCTCGATCGGTCGCTTACTGGGAGGGCGAAGTCTTGCTGCCGGTGCGGTGGTCTTTCTACTCGTCACCGCAGGAAACGTACACGCAGTATACAAGTATGCTGGCACACAGAAGGATCTCCTGAGATCCCGTGACAAGAAGATGGCAACCATAATTGAAGTATTGCAAGGTATCCGCCAGGTCAAGATGTCTGCATTGGAGGACAAGTGGGAGGGTTGCATCAACGGCTTGCGCGACAAGGAGCTGGAAAGCCAATGGCAGGTCTATATCTGGGAGCTGTTGATGTTCGTCACTTACAACGTTGCCCCTGTTCTGGTATCTGCCGCATGCTTGGGCACATATGCGGTCTTCCACGAAGGGATGCCTGCTTCCATTGCCTTTACTTCCATCTCTCTTCTCGGTGCCCTGACTACACCACTGGCTGTCCTTCCGCAGATCCTGCGAAGTGCCACAAGCGCGCAAGTAAGCCTTCGACGGATCGAGAGGTTTCTATGCTCTCCTGACCAGTGTCTCCAAGTACAACCGGCGGATGGCGTGGTCTTGGACCAAGCGACGCTTTCCTGGACGAATCGCCGCCTTCGCGGGGCCTTCAAACTGGACGATCTCACACTCCTGTTCCCCTCGGGTGCGTTAAGCGTTGTGACTGGCCCATCGGGCTCCGGTAAAAGTCTCATTCTCGCGGCTATTCTCAACGAATGCGAATTTCTTTCCGGCCAATTGCGGAGACCGCAATCTTCGGCTATCGCCTTCGTATCCCAGGAACCCTGTATTCGCAGCGGCACTGTTCGGGACAATATCCTCTTCGGCAGCCCGTTTGACCAAGACCGCTATCAGAGCGCGGTTTCCGCGTGCGCTCTGGATCGCGATTTGGAGCTGATGGACATGAAGGACAAGACCGAGATGGGTCCGCAAGGTAGCAACCTGAGCGGGGGACAACTATGGCGTGTTTCCCTGGCACGCGCGCTCTACTCCGGTGCCGAGATTCTTGTGCTCGATGATATCTTCAGTTCGATCGATGCGCAGACCGCACAGCATTTGTACGAGCATGCGCTCATGGGAAGCCTTGCCCAGGGCCGGACGCGTATACTGGCGACGTACCACCTCGAGCTGTGCCTCCCCGGTGCCGATTACGTCGTTGCTCTAGATAGGTCAGGGCTGCGATATGCCGGACCTCGGAAGAACTTGAAAGAGATGGGCATCTTTAATGATATGCCTTCGGCCGCGATGCGCGAACAGAAGCCTTTACTTTCGAGGAATTCGCAAGACATCGGCGGCTGTCTACCTGAAGAGGCGCCTTGGGGTGGCACTCTGTTACCTTCAGAGCAAGAGCAGACTTTTGGGGAAGACCAAGGTCAGGTTGATGCTGCGAGGATCAGCAAATGGCAGATCCGCCGAAGGATCTTCAAGCTCTCGGGCGCTGGCTATCGCTGCATGGTTCTCCTAGGGTTGTATCTGTTATACAGCGGGCTGGGCGTAGGACGAGTGAGTTATACCTCTCTGTTTGGCTTATGATTGTGACTGACATGAATAGGGTCTTTGGATGATGGTCTGGAGTAACAACAGCGGTAAATCCGCGGGGGAGATCGAAGAATCTTTGGAGATGAAATCCACGGCGGTGACAAGTGACGTGCGATGGTTCCTTTCTATCTATCTGACTCTTGCAATTGTCTCGTGCTTGGTCACTGTGGCACGGAGCTTCCTGGCCATACGGATTGTGCTACAGATGTCTCGACGACTCTTCCATCGCTTCCTCGATTCGATCCTTCGTGCACCTCTACAATGGCTTGACAAGCTTCCCACCGGCAATATGCTAAACAATTTCTCCACCGATTTCAGCTTGATCGATTCGCGACTCGGCTATGATCTCAACTACGCCCTCGGGCTCGTTGTCGACCTTCTTGTTATCGTACTAGCAGCATCGATTGTGAATGTCTGGCTCAACCTTCTGTCACTCGGCTCGCTTCTTCTTGCCACATACTACGGGCGCAAATTCATCAGGAAGATCCGCGCTGTCAAGGAGTTGGAAAGCCGCATGCGAAGCCCCATCCTCAATCATCTGTGCGCAACAGTGGATGGTATCATGACCATCCGCGCCTACCGACAACAAGAGACCTACCGCGATGAGATGCATGCGCATATCGATCGCCACTGCCGCGCCTCATGGACCTTGTGGCTCTTAACCCGTTGGATATCCATGCGAGCCAGCACGATCGGCGCCATCTTCACTACCCTAGGCTCGGCACTGGTCCTCGGCACGAACGGCGTCACCGCCGCGACGGCGGGATTCGCCATCACCTTCATCATGCGCTACAGCGCGATCATGTCCCAAGCCATCCGGCAGTACGCCAATCTGGAGATCTCGCTGAACAGCGTCGAGCGAGTCGCGGCATCCCTGGACACCCCGAAGGAGAAATACGACAGCCCCACTCCAGTGGCAGCGTCGTGGCCCACGGAGGGCCGGCTGGATGTATCCGAGCTGACCGTGTGCTACACCCCCGACCTCCCGCCCGTGCTATCGAACCTCACCTTCTCCATCCCACCGAACACCCGCGTAGGGGTCGTGGGCCGCACGGGGGCCGGCAAGTCCTCCCTGGCCATGGCGCTGTTCCGATTCCTCGAAGCCCAAGAGGGCAGTGTCCGCGTCGACGGCGTCGACATCAGCACGATCCCACTCCATGACCTCCGCTCGCGTCTGGCCATCGTGCCCCAGGACCCCGTCCTCTTCTCGGGAACGATCAAGTCAAACCTCGATCCTTTCAACGAATACTCCAACCGGGACCTCTTCACCGCTCTCCAGCGCGTGCACTGGACCATCCCGGACACCCTTCTCCCTCCAGCCCTCTCGACAGCCCACCGCGACGACCCCGAGGTCCCCGATGACAGCGACAGCGACATCCCCCTCGAATCCCTCCAGCCGCACGCGCACCTCCCCCGCAACGTCCTCAACACCAAGGTCTCCGGGCGCGGCGGCAATTTCTCCCAGGGCCAGCGCCAAACCCTGTGCCTGGCGCGGGCCATCCTGCGGCGTCCGAAGATCCTGGTGCTGGACGAGGCCACTTCGGCCATCGACAAGACCACGGACGCGGTGATCCAGGCCTTGATCCGGGCGGAGTTTGGCCGGAATTACTCCTCGGTGCTGGTGATTGCCCACCGCCTGCGCACGATCGTGGACTTCGATCGGGTGCTGGTGCTGGATGAGGGACGGATTGTTGAGGACGGGTCTCCAAAGGAGCTGATTGCTAGTCCGGAGGGGGTGTTCCGGGGTCTGGTGGAGAGCAGCGTTGATCGTGAGGAGTTGATGGAGGTTATTGCCCGGGCAGGCATGAGAGCTTAGTTGGACGAGCATTCATGCTAAGGTGGGCTAACGATGGCTCTCGCAAGGCCTAGAATCTTCGAAATCACTCATGCAAGCAGGGTAGGGGGGAGTCAGCGTACCCCTGAAGAAGGCCTCCAATCGACCCATCACCGACGCAATCATGCACACGATGTCACGGAGGAGGCGATGTCGAGACCCCCCCCCCTTATCTCCGGATACCTCCGTTTCCACCTCCGCACCAAAAAACCCGACCTGACAAATCATCGAATTGATAAACAAGAACATCTCGAAACCTCAATTCTCCCCCTTTCCGAACTCTTCCAATGCTAGCCCTGGCAAATCGTGCAGAATAAAAAAAGCTTAGTGGTTCCAACGCAACGTCTCGGGAAGCGAACCGACCCTGAAGATTGGATGCATTTCCCGATTGGGTCTAGTCTCCGCGCGGATATCTTGGCTGGGGTCCGACCGGATTAGGATTAGTCTCCGTTGCAGCTTGACTTACGCCATCCGAGCCCTTCTTTCTCCTCCAGACGATAAATACCGGGCTTGCTGCCGGTTTCGAAGGCTTGTCAATCAGTCAATCAATCAATCAAGCTTGTCTTGTGTTCTATTGCTCTTCCTATCACTACTACTATCCCCTCTTTACTTTCAAAAAACACCACCATGTCTTTCCCCTACCAGAAGGTCCTCGTCATCGGCGCCACCTCCGGCATCGGCAAATCCCTAGCCACCAAGCTGGTTGAGAATGGCATCCGCGTGGTGGTCGCCGGCCGCCGCAAGGAGAACCTGGATGCGTTCGTCGCCCAGCACGGCAGCGACAAAGTCGACTCCGCCGTGTTCGACGTGATGCAGCTCGAGAAGGTAGGAGGAGCCCTCACACCCGAAGCAACACACCACCACTAAACCTTGGCACCCCAAAGATCCCCGAGTTCGCCGCCAGCATCACGACCGCCCACCCAGACCTGGACTGCGTCTTCGTGAACAGCGGCATCCAGCGACCGTTCGATTTCGCGCGCCCGGAGACCGTGGACCTGGACATCTTCGACCAGGAGCTGATCACCAACTACACGTCGGCGGTGCGGCTGACCAAGGCGTTCCTGCCGCACCTGCAGCAGCAGCCGCGCCAGACGGCGCTGGTCTACACAACCTCGCAGATGGCGCTGGTGCCCATGATGCGGTGCCCGAACTACGGCGCCTCCAAGGCGGCACTGCACCACTTCATCCTGGCGCTGCGCACGCAGCTGAGCGAGAGCGCCCAGGGCGACGTCCGCGTGCTGGAGATCTACCCGCCCGCCGTGCAGACGGAGCTGCACGACGCCAAGCACCAGCCCGACCTCAAGGACGGCCACCTCATCGGCATGCCGCTGCAGGAGTTCGTCGACGAGGTCTGGGCCCGTCTGGACAAGGGGGAGGACCAGATCCCCGTCGGCTCCGCCGCCGACATCTTCCAGGCCTTCGAGGTCAAGCGCCAGGAGCTGTACAAGGGGATGACCGAGTTGTTGTCGGGTCTGTTGAAGCAGTTCCTGCGCGAGTAAGCACTTGCTGAATCGGATGAAGTCAGTCTATGATGGATGAAATGTGATGTTCTTTTTGTGTTGCATATAGAAATAGAGATTTGAATTGTTTTGTTAAAGCTTCTATGACGTACCTTGCCCGCTTAAATCATGTGGTTTTGTTCATGTTCCGTAAAAAAGGACTCACACCTCCACGACCAAGGAAGCAGGAGGCGGCGTAGGAAACCCCCTAGCGACATCCGCGACCCGCTTCCCGCGACAAGCCGCGAGGATCAAGCCCGCAAACGCCCCAATCCCATGCACCTGCCCTTGCTCCAACATGCCCGAGTAGCCGTGCAACGAGACCATGGCCCCCTCACTGGACCCCCACAGCTCGTTCCCTGCCCCAAACCCAGTATCGATCCCCGGCTCCTCGTCCGCAGCGTCCCACAGCCCCGTGCGCACGTCGAACGGCAACGCGTCCACGAACGGCGTGCGCACGGAGTAGTTCCGCGTCCGCAGCGAGTACACGCTGCGCAGCATGAACCCGACGATAATGGTGCGGCGCACGCTCTCGGCGAACAGCCACGCGCGGCGCGGGCTGAGCGTCGCCGGCAGCTGCACGGGCGCCTGCACCCACAGCCGATGCCCGAGGTTCAGGAGCATCTCGCTGATGGATTCCTGGTATTCGGTGTCCTGCTGGTGGGTTGCGGTCGGGTCGGACGGATCGAGGGGCGGGGACAGGAGGAGGATGCACTGGATGAGGAGGAGGGCTTGGGCGCTGGCGAGCAGGTCGGGGAAGGTGGAGGCGCGCGCGAGGTGGCGGTGCAGGGACCGGGATTTCTGGTGCAGCAGGGACTGGATCTCTTTGCGCTGGTGGTGGCTGGGACTGAAGAGGGAGGTGGAGTAGTGTTTACACAGGCTGTAGATGTCTTGCAGGGGTGGGGGTGGGGTGGAGGCGCTCGGCCAGAGGTCCGGGTGGATGAAGTGGGTTTTGAGAGAGGAGGCGAAGGTGAGGGGGTACTGGCGCATGCCGGAGATGAGGAAGGAGATTACGGTGGGCGAGTAGCCTTTGGTGATCTCCAGGGGGGGCAGGGGTGGGGGGATCGTTGGGGTGGTGGTGGTGTATGGCCTTGGTTTGCGGGGACGGGAAATGTTGGCTTGTGTGATCGAGGAGGAGGGAGTGGTAGTGTGAACAAGACTGCGTGCTTTGGCGAGGCTAGTGGTGGAAGAGGAGGCGTTGACTGTCAACGGCATGTTGACGTACTCGCAGTCAATCCGACGGGCCTGGCAGCGGCTGCAGCGCGGCCAGCGCTGGTCGCAGCGCCGTTTGCCACGGGCGCAGGCTTGGCAGGATCGGCGCAGTGTGGGTGGTTTGGGGGCCTCAATGACCATTGTGATGGAGCTAGGAGATGACAGGGGAGCGACAAGAGGTTGAGTAGTCTGATAGGAGTGCAGTGCAGTGGTGTGGTGTGAGAAGGGAGGCGAGGAGGGAGAAAGAGAGAGAGGTCGGAGATGAAGCATTCCGGTGACGCGGCCGAAACTCATAGAACCGAGTCACGTGCCCTATTTCCGCAGTGCACGGCCGAAGCTGCCTATTCAGGACAGGCGAGCGACGAACAAGCTCTTTACTATGGAGAAATTCATGCATCTAACTCATTTAACATTGAACGCTAGAAGAGACGTCCGCCTCTAATAATGTGCCTTGATGGGCCCCTCTTTAGTCTTTCCCGATAGTCGCTGCTGGATCTTCTCCCATGACACTCTTGCCCGTCTGGCTGCATCCTCCGGCTTGTGCTCCACGTCGCGCATCCGCCAGTCAAACACCTCCATCGAAACCCAACCTTCGAATCCCTTATCCACAACCCACGTCTTGACGGTCTCTAAGATAGGGAGATAACCACCCAGCTCCGCCTCCATTGGAAAAGGTCTCGCATGCTTCGACCAGGTGAATTGAGGGGCTTCACCGTGCAGGTACCACGGGTGCGTCTCCGACAGCGGCGGGTCGAAGCGCTCCGCATCGGACAATTGCACATAGAAGATCTTCTCCAGCGGGCACTGCTCCCTGAACCGCTTCAGAGACGCTGTCAGATCCTGATCGCCCGTCGGGAGCTTGCCCGACCTGTCCACATTACTACCCCATAGCTTGGTATGCTCGTGGAAGTTATCGAGGCACAAGCCAAAGTTCGGACGGTCCACCGCGTTCACGATGTGAAGGGCAGTCTCCCATGTGGAACAGAAGATCCCCCACGAGAGGTACTCGTACGCAACGGAGATGACCGGCTCCTCGGCACGGGCGAGGTCTGCCAGTTGCTGTAGATCGGATACGACCACCTTCTCGTCCGTGCTGCCGTCCGCGTTGTAGTATGACGGGACTTGAAGGTAGGCTGCCCGGAGGGTACGCGCCAGCTGCAACCAGTGCTCAGCGGTAGCGAGTCGCTCGGACAAGGGCAAGCTGCCACCCTCAAAATTCTCGAAGGGCGCGAGGGAGATGATTTCGACTCGGTACTCAGCGCAGAGATCTCTTGTTACTTTGGCTGCTTCGTGGATGGAGATGTTGAGGTGTTGTGCAAAGTCGGCGAGATCGGAGTACACGACTTCGATGCCGGTAAAGCCGTGCCGTGCCGCAGCTAGGATCTTCTGGTCGAGGGTATGACTGGGATGCTGGCCCAAGGACTTGGAGCCGATGGCTTGCTTGTTTGTTAACATTGTGACCGGTGGGTAGGGAGTATATGACGATGGTTGGTTTCTGTTGTCCATGGGTGGTGGTGAGTAGCGTTTTTAAACCGAGCAATTTCCCCGCATCAACGGAACTGAGTTTCCGATGGGTTTACAAACCCGGACTTCAGATCTCTTGATGGTGATCAACCAATTGATGACGATTGATTATTGGTGACTCTTGCACTACGTGGTATCCACGCCGAGGATATGAAATTGCTTATGCTTTGCGAGTCTGCTGCCCTGAGGTGTCTACTCAAGTAGCTAGGGCTTACCCCACCTCAGGCCAGAAAGACGAACTCCGATTACGGGGCCAAACAAAGATTGTAAATACATCCTCTGACACTAACTTAACATCTAATTGAACTATCCCCAACACCAGTACGTCACTTCGAGCACCGACTCTTGTTACTTGAAGAAAGGGATGACAAGCACTCACTGATACCGTGCTTGACCGAGGTAAAGACTTAAGCAGAAGCAGGGCAGCGAAGTGGGTTCGCAAGGCACAGAAATAGAACAATGAGACAAGCGGTTTCAATTCCATTCTCAACAGAGTAGCTAATTTGTCCTTCAGGGTCTGGGATCTCCACCACCCGCCAATTGTCTCACATTATTCACGAAGACTTGGCATTGGGAACTCCGGGACTGCGGCCCCTGATGCCCTATTTAAAGGCAAGAAAAGATGTACACTTTCAAAAAGGCGTACCAAAATCCCAGCGCGGACGTACAAAGATATCAAGATGGACTTGCGATCCCTTCTCCTTGCACCCGTGCTGGCGACCGCCGCTGTAGGTAGTGTCATCGACCTCGATATCAAGGTCCGCAACGGCTACGTAAGTTCCTGCTCAGGTGATAAACACGTTTCCTGCTCCTGACCCTTATACAGAGAACCATTGAGGTAGACCTGGGAACACCCGGTGGCCCTTATGATCTGCTCTATGACACTGGCTCAACAGATCTCTGGGTGTTGGACGGCCAGTGTACCGACGCCACCTGTCCCAACGGGAGCGGGTATAGTTACACCCATTTAGCAATCCTTTGATTGTCGAAGCTCACACCGACTGCAAGATACCCCCGCCACAAGTACAACCTCACATCTACAGGCAGAAGCCTCGGTCTCAATGGGTCCATCGAGTACAGCGGAGGTACCGTTGAGGGCTACAGCGCGTCCGACATCCTCAGCCTCCCCGGAACCAACGTCTCCTATCGCCAATCTTTCCTCATCGCCACCGACAGCACCTGGGCTGCGCTGGGCGCCGACGGGTTTCTCGGTCTCGGCTCCTCGACGATCGCGATCAATAACGCGACCGCCCCCTTTGAGCAGATGATGCAGGACGGCCTGCTGGACCACCCCCGGTTCGCCATCTACGCGGGCAAGGGCGTCTCCACCACCTCCGACCCTAATCCTACGAACAACGGCGTCTTCACGCTGGGCGGAAGCCACGAGGACATCTACGCCGACGGCGAGCTGCAGTGGCTCCAGACCGAATCGCCCTTTGAAATCTTCAAGACGGGGCTGTACGGCATGCAGGGCCACAACACCACCAGCGACGGCAAGAACCAGTCCACTGAGCTGCTCAACTGGTACGGCACTGCCATTTTCGATACTGGTAAGAAGCACCCCCATGCAAGGGACAGGGACCTCAGCTGACCATCTGATCTCAATGTAAAGGAGCTTCAGCGATCGAGATCCCCGAACAGTACATCGATGAGGTCTACGCCATGACCCCGTTCAAGTACGCAGACCTCCTCAATGGGTACCGGCCCCTGTGTTCCGAGTTCAACCAGACCTGGTCGGTCTCCTTCACGATCGGCTTCTACGGCGAGGCGCCCACCTTCACCCTCACCGGGGACCAGTTGGCGGTGCCCGGCTACCAGGACGACGAGCACTGCTTCCCTCCGTTCAATGCTTGGAACAGCTTCAACACGATCTTCGGGCAGCATTGGATGCAGAACTTTTACATGGTGTATGATTTTGGGTCCTTCGAGCCCGAGTCCTATAACATCCGCTTGGGGATTGCGCCGTTGAAGAAGGAGTATCGTCATCGGGTTTGAGCCATCGTGTTTCGATGTGAAGATCAATAAGGATGAATGGAGGAGGTAGTCTTTCTCCACACGTATCACTGTGAAAGAATTTCGACATGTCGCGTAGGTTAGGAATCTACCTTGTCCTGAAATATACCAGAGACCTTTTCTTCAGCTCATGTTGATCGTTGACATAATCACCACTTCTATACTCTGAATATCGAGGAGATGACCGGGAAGCGGGAGATAGGGCTCATGAGACTCCAGCTTATGAACCATGACGTTGTTAAAAGTAGGGATTAGAGCCCAGGTGACATATGAAACGTGGATGGACTGGATGAGCCCCAGACCTCGCCCAGTATAGCTCATAAGCGCCGGTACGGAGACTCGCCGAGCCCGGCTCTCTTCTACTCTTTATCGCATTGGAAATACCCATCATCATCTTCTCCACCAAGGAACCTTTCATTATCCCATTCGAGATTCTCGCCTTTGCAAGATTCATAGCCTGAGGATTATTTGGGAGACAATCCATTTTCATATAAGAGACTAATGGCGTATGTAGTGAGGCTCGTCTTGCGACCAGGACTTCCCCTTCTTCCTCCCCGGGATATTCAGAACCCCCCTGACGAGAAGAAACCGCTGGATTGGACACCTGGAGAAGCCCAGGCAGACCAAGAAGGACGTAAAAGGGGAAGAAAACTCCGACGCCAGCGCCTCGAGCTATTCGGCCCGGAGGATACGGCAAGAATTCTATCGACGACCGTCGAGATCGATCGTCACGCCCAAAATCGCTCAAGGCACCTGTGTGTGATGAATTGCCACCCGCTGCGTCCGACAAGGCCAGGCATAATTCCCAGGTTCTCTATGACAAGAGGGCGACTCAGTCTCTCATTCTGGCATCTCTAATGCCTTTCTTGACCAAGGCGATCAGGCCGTAGAAAACCCGGGGCTCACCTGATGCGATAGTCACGGCGTGCCGGCACCTGAGCAGAGGAGTTGATGTGACCTGTTACTTTGTGCTCAGCCTACTATCATCTGTGTGTTCTGTAAATTGGTGTGACATCGTGGGGTTGCTTACATGATGATCTCGACGCTCAGCCACAGAGCAGTGCGGGGTAAGTTAGCAACCCCATCAACAGATCATCACAGACCTTCACACTGATTCTGACCCATCCACCAACCCTCTTCAGGGTCTCCGATATTGCCTGCGTTGGAGACGAGATTGAGGAAAAAAAAGGAGGTAAGCAATGCCGCGAAGACCTCGTATCAGTCCGGCTTCCAGCCATCTCTCCGACGACGTTCTCGCCACTTTCCCCGCCCACGATCCCAGCGGAAATAATCTAGAAGAGGGAGAAGAAGACTCAGACGATGGTAGATAGTCCAGCTTAGTGGAGGGGCAGCCAGAAAAGCCAGAAAAGTCCAAGCACTGGTCCTTTCGTCCAAAACACACACAGAAGGATCAACAGTATGTTGTGTGATATCATGTCACCTGCTCCGGGAAGGGCACACACAAGATGCAGCAAGAAACCCACGGTGTATCTCAATCATCCGAGGTTATTCGAAGGCGACGGTCAAATGAGCGCCTTAAGGGGCCGGTTGGCGGTTCCAAATATTGACGAGTACCTCAAGCGAAAGGACCATGTGGTCTTCGTGGTCAAGAAATGGGTTGATTGCGATGAACACGTCGACGCAATCCAGAAGTCGTTCCATCCTCTGCCGATGTCCAATGACCCCGAGATTCCCGCATCGGTCCAGCCATACTTCTCTATTCTCCAAAATCACAGCCCTTTGGCCGACATCGTGTCGGAAACCATGGAGCTGATCTCCGAGACCCTTCGGCAGACCGTCGTGAAAGTGACTGGGATGAACTCCGACGACATCGCGCCTCATGGCATAGTCAGGAATCTGGACACGATGAGGGACCGCCTCTACTACATCAGCCGGGAGGAGGACTACTTGAACATGCCCACGCCGGCGCAACTGCTCCACCTCAATGTTCTGCTGGAGTACATGGAATCCCAGAATAGAGCCGAGTACGAAAAGGTTGATAGGCTGATTTCACAGGGGCTGATCACAGAAAAGTATCTGCCAAGGCTGTACGGCCCGGAGCAGATCTTGATGACCAGTGTGGACGGTCATGTTCGCGGGTACATGCTGGAGAGTGCCCCCATCAACAGGCTATCCGTATCGTTGGAGCTGTGGTCCTGGCGATTCAATGGGATGTTCTTCAAGCAAAGGGAGACTCGGTCACTGAGCTGGCCGTCTGCTGTGCCAGCGGATTAGCCCATCCCTATTTCAGACCTGTCCATCTATCCGTTGAGATACGTCTCCCAGGAGTCAATCAAACAACTCAAGGCTAGGGGGCATTTATTCTAGAAATGTCGCCATGCCCGATTTGTGTCCTATGACCCCCCGAGTGCCATTCTTGGCATCCAGACTGTGAGTCTCCCTAGGAGACAGGCGTTGAAGGAGCGAGGGAGGGCTTAGATGGTGCTAATGCGAAGTACCCTTACAGGCCAACCCGCGGTATATGGTGGATATGAACACGTACCGACAAATGCATGGAGACTCTTCAGTCCACCAGGATGACCTGGGCGCTCAAGCAATGCAAAACGATGAGCCGCCGGATACAAACTTTGTGCTACTGCTTCCTCATGAAATACACGGCTTTGGAATTCATGATAAAAAATGGCGTTTGTCCTCCCTCCCACCCCGACCTCTAACCAGGAAGACCTCTTCTTCATTATTCGATCCAACAGCCCTTCTTGGAGAGGAATGTACTGAAAACGACATCAGGAACTCTACTAGTTGAGTACATCAAGAACATCAACTGGAACGACGCGGCGTTTGATCGGTTGGTCATGCAACACAGTAAAAAGGAGCTCATCAAGGCCCTGGTGACCGTGCACACGACCTCCAGCAAGTCGACCGATATCATCGAGGGCAAAAGCAACGCGCTGATCATGCTCCTGCACGGCGGACCGGGGACGGGGAAGACTCTGACTGCCGAGTCCGTGGCGGAGCTCACGCGCAAGCCACTGTACCGGGTGACCTGCGGCGACATCGGGACCAACGCGGACGAGGTGGAGAAGTACCTGGAGTCGGTGCTCTTGATCGGCACTATCTGGGGCTGCGTCGTGCTGCTAGATGAGGCCGATGTCTTCCTCGAGGAGCGGCGCGAGACGGACCTGCAGCGCAACGCCCTGGTCTCCGTCTTCCTACGCGTCCTCGAGTACTATGACGGGATCCTGATTCTTACCTCCAACCGCATCGGCACGTTTGATGGCGCCTTCAAGTCGCGCTTCCAGCTCGCAGTGCACTACCCCGCCCTCAATGAGCAGGGCCGCTTCGAGATCTGGCTCAACTTCATCAACGGCCTCAGCAAGACAAACCCAGAGATCCCGATCGATGATCTCAAGAGCCGCCTGCCTGAGCTGGCCGCCAGAGCCCTCAACGGGCGCCAGATCCGCAACACGGTGCGCACCGCCCTGCAGCTGGCGCACTTCCGCCAGACCACCCTGACCTATGAACACTTCCAGCAGGTCATCGACGTCGCCGAGGAGTTTGAGAGGCATATCGAATCAACCCGCGGATACTCGGACCTCGACTGGACGCGGGACCGGGCCATTCGATCGGATTAGGGCTCTACGGGACATGTACAGTCATGTACCATGAATGACCATGAATAACAGCAGCATTTTGTAGTCAGCTTCTAATTTGTCAAAGCTGGACTCGACATCAACGAGAGATGCACGTCAACCTTCTCCAAAGAGGTATCCAGCTTGGTTGAGATTAGTCCGAATCGGCCTATTAACGAAATAACCGTGCTTTGATTTGGGGACGGTCGGGATGGGAAGACAGTTTGACATCCATGCAGGTGGGGATGCATATGAGGAAGATCATTCTTGGTGTGACGCATTGAACTGCCGTCCCGCAGACTATTAGACGACGCTTTCTACCCCTCATAGGGTCTACGTCCGCACAGGTCGATGTCAGTCTTAAGTGAGATCGCTCGAATCCCATCCTGGGGAATGTAGGTGGATCTGGATCAGAAACATGTCAATGGATGCTGGCGAGAGGAACCTGGCATGATGACCAAGTGGTGTCGCTCCGCTACGATCTGGGAACGGTCTATTTCATTGCAGTGGAATTGCCCTAGTAAATAAGTAGGCATCTATACTCGAGTGTCGAGGCTATGGAAATCTCATCCGATGCCGATGGAGGGGCTTGTGGAGATGGTGGTGCCGAGGTATTCTTTGACATTGGCTGGACTCTTGGACGAATGCTAAAAAACTGCAATCGGATGAACAAGGAGGACAATGCAATTCTTTGAGACATTGCGGAACTCCAGCTGAAGAAATTGCAGGAATGGCTGAAAACACCGTTTTTTCTTTCGTTCGAGGCCGGTGGAAAGCAGTGGTAGTGTTTCATGAAAAGCATAAGAGACTTTCTTCGATCCTGCGGGTATTCTTCTCTCCGTCGAGGAGAACATAGGGTAATGGACTTCAGCAGTGGAAAGCTCAGCCGAATTTTCTTGTCTCGACAGCAATGCGAAGGCGATTGTCCCGCTTAACCGGGAGATATCACTCAAACATCCCAGGAAATACTTCTCACAGACGCAGTGTCGACGCAATGATGTAGAAATTCGCATGCTATAAATTATGCCCCTGATCCCCAAGTTTTATCCGCTTTACAAGGCACTCCTATCCCTAAAACGCAACCCTGAAAACCCTAAGCCACCAGAAATCAACACCATCTCTCCCCCAAGACCTAATCCAGCCAACACAGAGCAACAATCTATCGATAGAAAGACTCCGCTAACATGGCCACATCACAGATCGAGACCCTCTCAGACATGTGGACTTCTGTCCTTGCCGAGTGCTTCTCTGCAGAGGAAGGCTTTCAACTCACCCGCACGACGATCATGCTCACTTCCCCTTCTGACAAAAGCTGCGAAGCTCCCATTTTCCACCGAGTGCTCAAGGCCTCTAACGCTAAAGGCAAGACTCTCTTCACAATCCTGATTGCCGCCCCGGTCGCCTGGCCCCCAGCAGCAACGGCAGATCCTCAGAAGGCCTTGCGAGCCCTCTGCGGCAAAATCCTGCGCTGCTACTTGCCGCGCCATACCATCGATGAATCCCCCATTCCAGTCGTTGGAGCGGTGGTCGTCGGCGACGAGCTGCGACTTTGCTGGGACTTGTCGGTGCACGGAACGCATGGGTTGAAGCGCACGATTGAGAATGTCGTGGGACGGGAGCTGAATGAGCGGAGCCAAACCAGGCATGCCCATTCGCGGGATGGCCAATTCGTTGCGACCTTGTTGAGGGAGGTCAAAGCGTTTCTCAAGCCGTGGTCACAGAGCGGGAAAGTGGATGGTCATACAGAGAATGGAGATGATGCTGGTGAGGTGGATGGCGATGCAGCGGAAGACGAGATTACGCCCGAGTTGGCCGACGCGTACTTGCGCGAGGTCGTGGCTGGGAGTGCTAAGTTCGATGTAGCCTCTTTCACTATGCTGGACTTGGATGGTTGAGGTACCGCTGGCTATGGGCGCAAAGGATGTTCATTGAGGATCGTTCTTCCTCATCACATTTCTCTCTTGTCTTCTTCTCTGCCACAGAAGACGAGACCCACCTCCGAGAAAATTTACGAAACCAAAAAAGACAATAGAAGATATAGAGCCCTTGGCCTAAAGGCCAAGGCATGCATGCATTTCATAATCTCTAAACATGATTCGTAGACTTGATCATCAGATAAGGCGCCCCGACCCGGTTGAGAATTTTTGCTTCGCGGGGCTTGATGAACATCGGCTCAGTGATGGCCAGGTAATCCTTGTAGTAGGGCTTCTGTATCTGGACCTATTGAAGTGTCAGCAACGTAGCCATTTCACCCGGCGGGAGATTGCCGCTTTACTCCAAAGAGCCATTCGGGAGTTTGTGACCTGCAGCCGAGTTAGTAAATCTCATGCTCAGAAATATTACGGCGCCCGAAAAATCCTGACACCTGAAGCCAAGGGAAAGAGGACATACCAATTCTCAACCCAGGATAGAGTGCCCGGCTCCTCGGGCGACTGATAGACCTCGAAAAACGTACACTCGGGCTCGGCGATGACATTTTCGTACACTGGTTGGAAGGCTTCCCAGAACTTAGGCAGGTTTTCCGGATCGATGTGGATGGTGATGTGCAGAGAAATTCCGCGGTTGGGGGTCGTCATCATAAATGCTAGGGGGTCGGAAGCTGACGGGGAGGATAGTATGTAGGATGATTTTTGGCAGTGAGAGAAGGATGACATTCCCCAAAGTTATTTCTGCAGAGCAATACGCTCCTTCTTATAGCAGTCGGAGGAGGCTAAAATCTGACATCTCGGCAAAGCTGGCTGGCTGGCTACCCGGCCGTCAGGCTGAGCTTATGGAATGTTGTATGAGTTGCGCTGCCATCTGACAGGTCTTTGGCAAACAGTGGATGGTGTGATATATAACCCACCCAAGATGAAGATAACCTATCATCAAAGCAATGAACAGATGGAGCTCTACCTATAGTAGATTCATTATCACGATAGTAGACTTGGTTCCATGCCAACACTGCCGCAGAGCCGGTCGAAGAACTCGGCGTTAAGCTTGGAGCTAACCAGAATGGAGTCACGGGTTTATTCAAGTCATCTTAATTGACGAGATGATATAGGTTTTGACTTCGAGCCAATGGTAGTGTATTCATCCCTTCAAAAGGCTGTATTCTGACCCGCGTGCTTGTAGGTGATGATGGTCAGTCGACTGCAGATTCCTTGACACATGACAGGAAGCCCTAGTATGCCTTTTTCAGGGTGAGCTCAGGCCCGAGCGGGATTATGGGCGAAAAAAAGAGCATTGGTAAAATATTTCAGGCCGTAACCTTTCCTGACAATCGACTTGACACCTGGTTGAGTATATGTAGCCCGCGATCTTGGTTCCGATTGGTTGTGGTGGCTACTGTTTCAATGAATACCACCCCGCAACATATCTTCGCCTGGCCTGATGGGCTGGAAAGCATTATTAATGGGGAGGAGAAAGGCTAAGAGGTGGTGAAATATAGTTCAAGCAAGACAACCTATAGACAGGATTAGTACACTGCACCAAGATACTTGTTTCTGATACTCACGCCTGTGCTATCAAGAGAGAAAGACTTAGAAGGGTTACAGTCGGGGCATAGCTGGGCTCTGTGGAGTGAGGTCAAAGAAGTCAAAAGAGTCAATTATACTGAGGATTGTAAGGTATAATGATTCGGTTTATAAGCTGAATAGACTATCCAGAGTATAGATTGTTATTCCGGGAGCTGGACCATCAGTGATACATAAACTCTGGTAAACAGAGTTTTGTTGTTGGTACTTTTTCATTCTCTTTTATGGGTATAGAAAAATTGAAGTTGTACAAGAAAACTCTAGGGTAATTCATCAAATCGTAGACTCTCACCCTCGTTGTTCTTTATGCCTTCCGGGGCTGACAAGCTGCACAAAAGAACACCATTGCGGTCATGGATAATAGATTAATGTAATTGCCGATATATGCGGAACAAGGAAGTTTAACCTAGACCAGCAACAACCGGCGAATACGTCGGACAGTCGGACACGCCACATATAATTGTAGATGTAAGTCAACTGCTGATAACAAAGAGAATACTATACCCTGGTCAATCGGCTTACATATACCTGCGTCAAGACCGGCATTTGCGTGACCAACCCCTCGTATGGGCTCACCGGAGGTCGGCGATAAGCCGTGCATGGCGGAATATGGCATTATCCGCAGCTTCAATCACGTCGCTTTCAGCAACTCAGAATCTAGTATTAGCAATGTCACACAAAGCCAAGCTGATAAGCATGTTGTGATAATGCAGCGCTATACGGATTCTGTGCGGGGTACATGTGCTATGCCCTGGAGTTTGTAGGCAGTATAGCGACAATAGCGGCATGTTCAGCAGATAAGGTTAGACGGGGAATTGGTATATAAGAAGCCATGCCGTCCTCATCTCATGGAAACATACTCAACCCAGTCAATCAACCAGATCACATCTGAACCAAAAGAGAAAGTATCATTCTTCCAGCATGGCCCCATCACTGACCGAAGCCGCCGCCCATGTCGTTCCTATCCCCACGAAGGCATCGCAAAGAGAACCTGTCCAAGCGACCGGCGCACTCGACGCCTACGACTCCTTTGACGTGACCCCCATTATTGGTCACGAGTTCAGCCATGCGAGCCTGAAAGAGTGGCTGCGTGCCCCCAACTCTGATGATCTCCTGCGAGAGCTCGCCCTCACCGGTACAGGATCCTCGCATCGTCGAAGCCCTTCATGAATGACTTACTGACCTGAAAATGAAACAGTCTCCCAGCGCGGCGTGGTCTTCTTCCGCAAGCAAGACGACCTCGACAACGATCTCCAAAAGGAACTGGTGCAGCGCCTGGGCCAACTCTCCGGCAAGCCCTCCACCTCGGGTCTGCACGTGCACCCGATCATCAACGCAGACCGGGAACACGGCGACAAGGACAACGAGATCAGCGTGATCAGCTCGCGGGCGCGGCAGAAGCTCTTCAAGGGGTTCGAGAAGCGCCAGAGCAACAAGCGCGAGTGGCACAGTGATATCACCTTCGAGCCGATTCCCAGCGACTATACGATCTTGCGGCTGACGGAGTTGCCGACGACGGGCGGGGGTGAGCAAAGCCGAGCCCTATCCCTGACCCTGAAGAGTTGAACTCCGATACTGACCGCAACGTGACAGATACCCTGTGGGCTTCCGGCTACGAGCTGTATGACCGCATCTCAGAGCCCTACCAGAAGTTCCTCGAGGGACTCACAGCCACCTACGCGCAACCCGGATTCAACGAGATCGCCAAGAACAACGGGTTCGATGTGTTCGTCGGCCCGCGGGGCGCCCCCGAGAATGTGGGTGAGGTTCTGCAGGCCACCCACCCGGTGATTCGCACCAATCCGGTGACGGGATGGAAGAGTGTCTTTGCCGTGGGCCACCACGTGCAGAAGATCGACGGGCTGACCGAGGAGGAGAGTCGCCATCTGCTGGACTGGTTTGTGCAGTTGATTGTCGAGAACCATGACCTCCAGGTTCGGTTGCGGTGGCAGAATCCGAATGATTTGGGTAAGTTGCTGCCTTCGGATCCTTTCTTTGATGTTGAAAGTAGAGAGGTGGCTAACAAGATTCACATGCATAGCAATCTGGGATAATCGCAGTGTCTACCATGCGGCTACCCCAGACCATGAGGATTTTGGCCCGCGCACTGGGCAGCGCGTGGTGGGGCTGGGTGAGAAGCCTTATTTGGATCCGAGCAGTACCGGAAGACGTGAGGCTTTGGCGAAAACTGCATAAAATTGAGGGGTTGATTTTGGTTGATGGGTGAATGCTATGGGCGATGTGCCCAAGGCTAACGAATGCCCTTGTGTTCAGTTGGCTAAGTAGTTAGCCTGTGGGGAGTGTGAGAGTCAATGGCGCAAGAGTAATCCAGAATATCTGGTAGGTATTGATTTTTTTGGCATGCTGTAAACCTTTCAATCTCCGATATCGGGGCTTGATCTAGTCAAATGGATGCTAAATGGTGAAGTATTAAATGCCTGGTACATTTGAGCCCAGCATCACATAAGAAATCATGTTATTGATCCGATTAACTAGGATGTCAACATTTGGGGAGTACAATATTATGGCTGATACAGTATCTGCGCATGTTAAACAGGATTTCATAGTAAATAAGATTGCATGAACCATTCTGAGCAAAGTAGAATTGATAAATCAGTGTATATTATTGAATCTTGGCATTGAGCTACAAAAGTTGCTATCACTTACCCTGGAACTCGCGACTACTCCCTCAAAAGCTTCGGCTGAAGTGACAGAAAACCATCGCTTCAGACCGAAAAAGGGCAAGTTTTCAAAAGGTGTCATCGAACCACGAGGCGACATGCACCAGGATGAAAATAAAGAACGAACCCAGGAAAGACGCCTTGATCGCTTCACCCAGAGTGAAACGGGGTCGATAGGGATATGTCGACCACAAATAAAAGCCTAAGCTCGCAAGCGGCGAGGCAAGAAGCAGCAGTCCCCGATCCTAGTAGTTACAGCCGATCTCAGATGTTTTGTACCAGTCATAGCCCTGGTACCAGTAGCTCATGATCAATCTTTGGATAAACCACACAATAATTTGGAGGGCCAGAGAGCACCACATAGCAACACGCAGAGTCACCTTCTTGTCCAACCAGGCTTTCTTGGTCGGAGCCATTCCGAAGGTTCTGTTCTCCTGCATGGGGATGTAGCTTTCGCGACCGGCCGTTGGGGTTTCAAACTTCATGTTGGCAGGTGGTGATACACGAGGGTTTCTTGATAGGTCGGGTTATGACTATGGTCTGTCTCGGCTTGTCAAGGATCGTTTGCAAGGCGTTGACAATTGACTCAAGAGGAGGTCTTGGATGGGTTTATATAGACCACCGAGATCGAGATGAAGTATCTGATCGAATACTGGCTTTCTTTGTCGGCTTTGCTTTCGCACCCAATGTTCTTTACTAGACATCTTCGTATAATGAGTAACAACTGGATAAAATCCTCAACATAGAAAGAGAAATCAAGCAACATACAATAGAGAGCTAGCTGCACAATGAGCAGCGGAGCAAAATTTCTTTGATGCTGTTCAATTCCTACATTTGTCTTTGTCTGCACAGAAGAATAACAAAAAGCCTGGAATAATACTTAACAAGCAAACAAAGAGAGAATCCTCTTAACAAGCTTCGGCTCAATTACCACCCCTGTCTTGTACGCTGCGGGATGCCAAATTATTCCCTTAAACTGTCTGGCAAAACAGGTCCTGTCAGCTTCTGGGAAACATCTCTTCCTAGAGAAGTCCTAGATCACTTAGTAGTATCCATCTATGCCGTTCACCAAAGATTCCCTCAAAGAAGTCCACCCAGGTCTGCCGTAAAAGCTTTTCAGTAGACCCTCGGCGCGCTTTGTGGGCACAAGGTCAAATTTCTCTTTCACTGGATCGTATGCATCGGGAATTCGATTGTTCTCAGGCCGTAGCTCTCGTAGAATCGTGATCACCTCCGCCCAGTTGAACGGGGCTGCGGCCGCGAAAATGCGCTCGGACTGCACGGAGGGGTCGAGTAAAGCAACGACATGAAGGCGTGCCGTGTCCTCCACATCCACATACCAGTCTATAGATATTACGTTAGCTGCAGAGTTTCATCATGAAAAGATAAGGCCGGGAATACTTACGTGGTGGAACAACCTTCATCACCATATCACTTCCATCAAGCAACATGCGTGTAGCACGCATCGATGAGCCTTGATGCTCAGGAAAGAGGATTGTACCGAACTAAGAGCTTTAGAGTTTGAGCCTAAAGCGGCTTGGGTTGGAGTCCACGGTAGGTATACATACATCCATGTTAGGAAGCACCGTGTTCAAGGTGAAATGCGGCGTGCGCTCCTTCATCCAGTTCCAGGCATTGTGTTCAGCGGTGACCTTGGCTGCAGTGTACACAATGCTGGGCTTCAAATGGTCCGCTGTTTCGGGATCCCATGCGGCCGCTACTGCAGCATCGTTCCAAGAGCCTAGTCGTTGTCAACAACAGAGCTTCAAGCTGTCCAATAGGGAAAATGACGCTCACTCTGGTCCACTATCTTGCTTGGCAATCCAAACGCATCATCCATTGCAAGACACGCTGCATTCACCGACGAGGTGATGATCACTCGTTTAATGGATGGGGCCTTTTTCGCGGCAGTTAACACGTTCATTGTTGCTGCGACCACCCCTGGAATCACATCGTTGGGGTTGGGGCGATAGGACATGTCGGATGCCTGGGTGTAAAGGTGTTGTGTATCAGTATCTGATGTCTAACACAACGGCGCTTGGTGGATAATAGACCTACCACATGGACAATACCACCTGCATCTTGGACAAAGTCATCGAGTGCTCCTTCATCTTCCAGTCGGGGCACAATCGCGGTCTCGAATCGACCTGGACCGTACTTGGCTCGGAAGCCATCAACAAGCCATGGCTTCTCGGACCGTACCGTGCCTCGCACCCTGTAGCCTTTGGCCAGGAAAGCGTTGATCACCTGGGAGGCGATGTAGCCGTTGGCACCGGTGACCACGATCCAAGAGTCGGTTGGTAGGGTATAGTCGGAGGCGGTAGTCATGATGAAGATAATGAGATCAAATTGGCTGGATTGAGAACTTTCTTTCGCCCTCAACCAGGGGGTTTTATACCTCTTGCTCTGGCTCAGGGCTGGACTCAGGGCTCGGCTCTGATGAGGCTATACCCAAATGGTACAACTGTAAGAATTGACGATCCGACCAATCAGACGCGGCTATACCCGCGGGAGCAACCGCCGATCGCATCCGATGCTCTTACTCCTCCTCCAGGCTCCAAGGCTTCCAGGGTCTCGATCATTTTACCACAACACAACTGGAACTATATAAGTCTAGGTATGCCAGTCATCTGTGCATCCTGTCAAACACCCTGACCGTTCTCTAAACCTATATAATGGCTTTTGCCCCAGAGGGAAATTATACCACCAATTCGCCTGGTCTTATTCTCATTCTCACCGCCTGTTGATCTGATTTGTCTATGCCATTCCTGATTGCCCCCCTCTATTTCGAATGTCCTCACTGGCACTGCAGTTTCTTCCCCATTCTCGATGATGATGATGATCATCATCAACAACATGAAATTCAAAGCTCGAGACTCATGATCGAAGCGAATTCCCCTTCTCCTCCGGCACTTATTGACCCCAGTCTCCAAGCCTCCCACCAATTGTCCAATGAAAGGACAACGGCATCAGCCGCTAATCGGACGCCGTCACGACCTCGACTGCACACTAACAGGAACGGCCTGCTTAGTGAAAGAAAGATCACCACAACAATCATCTCGCCTCAAAACGTTAAGCACTTAGCGTTCACGTGATGCCGACCGATATCTTTCTCTGTCGCACCCGCTCTTGTGGTTGCTCTCCCACCAATCTTACCACTCTAGTGATCAGACAACCTTAGCCATACAAGCCACTGCACCTCATGGACCCTTCTGCATCAGCCACAACCACTGTCCGAAAGGGTAAACCAAGGCAGAAGCGATGGGCTCCTAGAACAAAAACAGGCTGTATCACTTGCAAGTACGGTGCATTCAACCCGGTAATCCCGCACGGTCGCAGATGCCAGAGGTACGCTGACACTTTAACTTGACAGAATTCGTCGCATCAAGTGTGATGAGGCCAAACCAAAGTAAGACGTACAAAACCGCACCTTGAGCAGTCTGGTCTGATACCCAGCGTGTCAATAGTTGTCAGAAGTGCGTATCGACTGGGCGGCGCTGCGACGGATACGAGCCGATCCGCCCGCCGCCACATCTGATGCGAATGCCATCTGCCTGGGATTTTATCTCCGACGACTCCACCGAACTCGACAACTTCTCCTTCTTCCAGTCCGTGACCACCTCCACCCTGGCCGAGTTTTTCGACCCCGGATTCTGGTCCAATCAACTGTTGCGGTTCGCCCACCATTATCCGGCCCTGTGGCACGGCATGACCGCTCTAGCCTGCCTGCACCGGGACTATGTCGATCATGATGTTCGCTTCACTCCGGCGGGAGAGAGGGAGATTCGCAGCAAGAAATTTGCTTTGAAACAGTACAACAAGTCGATCCAGGCGCTGTCGGAATTGTGCTCCAAGCCGGTTCTGAGCCTCGAGGATCGCATCGTGGTGCTAGCGACGTGTGCAATCTTCTCTTCGATGTGCGTTTTGCAAAGCCTGCAGCATCAGGCCTACATGCACATCCGCAATGGCCTGAAGATTATCTCCGAATGGGAGGTTGACTATCAGGAAGTGACCGTGTGCGGAGACTACGTGGCCGCCAGCATGTTGGTCCTGATCTTCACCCGGCTCGACTCCCAGGTCATCCCCTATATGTTTGCCTGCGCCCAATCGAAGACGTGGATCGACCGTCAAGTGGTCCCGTTGTATGCGCACGCCACATTCCTGACTCTCTTCGACGCCTATGTATCCATCGAAGCCATCTACAATGGTGTGATACGGCTGGTGTGGAAGTTCAACAAACGGGGCGCGGACTATTGCTCGATTTCCGTCGCCGAACGCGAGGCACAGCTCCAACTTCTACAGGCGTGGGACATTCAGCTGGACATTGTTCTAGAGACGATGCCGGCGGATGCCCGGGACTCCAAAGCCGTGGACCTACTGCTGGCGCGCCGGGCGCTTGCCGGACTCTTCTACCATGTCGACCTCAGTCCTGGTGAATTGGCATCCGATTTCCATCTTGCGGAGAGTTTGCAGCTGGTGGAGCGGGTCGCGCGGATCCTGGGCGATGTGGGTGACGGCCATCTGCAGCGCATCAAGGCTGCGTACACTCTCGAGACTGGGATTGTCGAGCCTCTGTTCTGGGTGGCTGTCCGCTGTCGCGAGCCGCAGGTTCGACATCGCGCGCTCAGGCTGCTTCGTCAGTATCCCCGCCGGGAGGGCATCTGCGACGGCGTGGTGGCGGCGCGGACCGTCGAAAAGGTGATCGAGATCGAGGAGACGGGTTGTCCCCGGGCACGGGGCGATCCAAATAAAGCGAGTCCCTGCTCCGATGGGCAATGGGTGTGTGAGAATCACCGCGTCACGACGTGGGACTTTGTCCTGCAGTCCGAAAGCCAGGTCGCCGTGATGTACAAGACTGTCGAGGACTTTGCTCTCAACCGCCCGGGGACAAGGGTGCTTTATTCGTGGTGGTGATTCACCGGATTTGGGCGCTGTCTTGGCGATCATGAAATAAATATATTGATAGCTTACCTTGGTTCGTAGGTCTTCGCCTCGAGTCAAGGCTTGACTTCGCACCGTTCTTGGATGATAAATTGCCATCGAGATAATCAAGCCTGTGTGAGGCTTCCTCGTAGCCCTACACTACTATGAACAGCTCAAGGGTCACTACCACTCAAATGCACGTCTCTCTGCCTTTACAGGCGAAATGTCATAAATCTTGTATCCTGTCTTCTACGTTGCTTCCAACGCAGACCATTTTTCCAGTTTTTGTGACTGTGGATGCAAGTTACCAAGCTCGCCTACAAGATATATCACGCAACCTTCATACCACTTATGCACGTGCGGTAGCGTGGCAAGGATCAAAGCAGGGAAACAAAAGTACGCATGAATCGTTGGTCCCGGTCGGAGAGTCTTCAATTGAGGAGTAGTCTAAGCGAGCGGTGATCTACAGGGGCGGGCCTCAAAATTTGGCCGTCCGAAACGCTCCCACCTCGGCAAACCAGCAGGCAAGCCCTGCTTGTGAACATGGCTAATGATCGACATAGACCGAAGGACGTTGGTCCCTGACTATATTTCGAGCCTTATCAAGGGTCTGGCCAGTCAGAAGCCAACCAAGCAGGGTCTGTGAATGAACCTTCCGTCTGTTTCGTTCTCTGGAGGGATACGAAATGGATACGGATTAGGGCCGTGGTTCAACGCAATTTCAGGACGGTCGGATTCAATGATATTTAGCACAGCTGCTTCAGCACCAGGCAGGAATGCTCTCAGGAACAAGACCTCCCCAGCCAACACCATCATCATGCGCTCGGTAGCTCTACTGCTGGCTGTCGCCCTCCCCGTCCTAGCAGTGAGTAGTGCCAACAGCGACGCAGTAGCCGTGTGCGAGTACCTTCATACCACCTACCCCCAATACACCGTCTGGGATCCCACCGGCCCCGATGCCCTTCAGACCTTCTGGAATCAATCCTACTATACGAACGCGGTGACCGAGTACTGGAACGGGGTCAACGCGGAGAACCGACCCGCGTGCACCTTCTTCCCCGCCACCGCGCAGCAAGTGGCCGTGGCGGTGCAGCAGCTGAACCACCATCCGGACGCCCCCTTTGCCCTCAAATCCGGCGGCCACAACTTCAATGTCGGCTTCTCCAGCACCAAGGGCGGCGTGCTGATCTCCTTCCACGAGAACCTCTCCCCCACCACCCGCAACCCCGACGGACAGACCTTCGACGTCGGGCCCGGCGCTCGCTGGGGGGATGTCTACGCCGTTGCCGAAAAGACCAACCAAGTGCTGGTCGGTGGACGACTGGCCAACATCGGAGTTGCGGGCTTCACTCTCGGCGGCGGGTTGTCCTACTACTCCGCTCAATACGTACTGCCCCTTGCCCTAAAACCCCGTTGCACTTCTCACTTTTCAGACCGCTCATTCCAACCCCAAACTAACCCGATTCCTAGGGCCTAACCTGCGACAACGTCGTCAACTACGAAGTCGTCCTCCCGAACGCGACCATCGTCAACGCCAACCGCACCTCCCACCCGGACCTCTGGTGGGCCCTGCGCGGGGGCGGCAACCGCTTCGGGATCGTCACCAAATTCACCTTCCAAGCGCACCCGCTGGGGGATGCCGGCAAGATCTGGGGCGGGATCAAGGTCTACACCGCGGACAAACGCGCCGCCATCTTCGAAGCCCTGGCGGAGTTCATCCGGGACTATCCGGACGCCAAAGCGGCGGTGATCCCGACCTTCGACTTCGGGCTGCCCGGCGCGCTGATCTCCAACCCGATGCTGTTCTTCTTCTACGACGGCCGCACGCCCAGCGAGGGGGCCTTCGCGGGACTGGACAAGATCGAGGCGCTGCTCGACGGCACCAAGACGACGACGTACACCGAGTTGACCAACCAGGCGGGCGGGGCCAAGATCTACGGGATCAAGGCCGCCGCGCGCGTGAATACCTTCCCCAACCTCGATCCCGGGAACATGTCCACCCTGCTGGAGGCGCATTGGTCGACGTACCAGGCCATGATCCGGAATGATTCTTCGAGGGATATTGATATCCAGATCGGGACGTTCACGCCGCAGCCGCTGTCCGTGCGCATTGCGAACGCCTCGCAGGCGCGCGGCGGGAATGCCCTCGGCTTGGACCCGCGCCACGGCGACCGGTTCTGGGTCGAGAATGATCTGATCTGGGTCAATGAGCATTGCAACGAGGCGTGCCCGGGGTATTTGAAGGAGGTCGCGGACCGGGTGAATGTCGTGTTTAACGAGACGCTGCGCGGGGCGAGGCCCACGAATTACGAGGCTGGGGATGTGGATTTTGTTTCGTAAGGTTCCCGCTTCCCGAGGAGTGTGTGAGCATTGGAAAAGATACTAACGCGATCCATTGATTGATGTAGGGTCAATCCGTTGTTCATGAACGATGCGGCGGATTATCAGGATGTGTATGCCAGCTACGGGACGGAGAACCAGGCGCGGCTGGAGCGGATTGCCAAGGCGTATGATCCGGATAGGTTTATGTTCCGGCAAGGGGGGTGGAAGCTTTGAGCCGTGGTCAGGCTTTGGTTGGGATCATTGTGCATTAGTTGTAGTTAATCTTGATTTCTGCCCTCGTGACGAAAGGTAACCCAGGCCAAGAGGGTGAGAATGAATGGATCCTGCTAGGGCTTTGAGATTTCATACACTTTCACTGTTCATACTCATTTAGTTGCTAGCCATAGGGAAAGAGACCACTTGTCATAAGGCAGGATTTATTTCCCACTTTCTTACTTCATTACTGCGGTAGCTCCCCTCATCAGTTGAAGAACCAACCACATGCAGCGGACGAATCATCCAACTACTACCCTCGTGGCCATGCTCATGGAGTTCAGTTTGCTCTTGCACTGGGGTTTCTCAAGCCACAGACAACTTGATTCGAGATGGTCACCGCACGCCGCAAGCCCTAAGCTTCTGGCACAGTCTCCTCGACGGATCAACCCTCACAAACCTGCAGCTTCCCCAACCCTCCCCAGAGCCACCATCTTCACACCGAGCAGAAGACAAACCCCTGCACCTCACGCGCACGGTCCCACTTCCCTCCCCGTTACCCCAGGGAATCACCATGGCCACCCTCATCAAGACCGCATGGGCCACCGTGCTACATCAAGAGACCCACTCCCGGGATATCGTCTTCGCCCAGATAGTCAACGCACGGGACATCGACCTCCCCGACCTCGACTCCCTGATCGGCCCTTGCCTCAACATCATCCCGGTCCGCGTCTCTTTCCCTCCTGCGCCTGCTCCTGATATCCCAGAAACCACAAACGCCATCCTCACCGCCGTGCAGACACAACACGCCCAGTTCCCGGAATGCAGCACCTGCCAATGGCAAGAGATCGTCACCCAGTGCACCGATTGGTCGAAGAACAGCAACAGCAGCACAGTGAGCTCGATCGTGCTACACGAGAACTTCGACGCGAAGCCCGAGGTGGATCTGGGTGGGGGACGGAGGTGGAAGATGCGGTCGCCCATCCTCTCGAATCCTCCGGACCAGACGATCTTTTTGACGACGTGGCCCGAGCGGGATGTGCTTTGCGTGATGTTTTCCGTGTCGAGTCGGTGGGTCAGAAGGGAGGATGCGGACCGGTTGGTGGAGCGGTTTTGTGGGAATTTGGCGGGGTTGACGGGGTGACTTTCATACAATTTCCAGGAGCCATTGGGAAGGCTTTTTCGTAGAGTTGCGGTCCCTGTTTGGTTGTGTTGGGGGTTAGGTAGGTATTATCAAGGTTTCGGTCACAATTTATGGTTATAATGTCTATTGACATATCTTGATCTGCGATTTGTGAATGCGGAAGTTCTTGGTGGATAGTCTAGTCAGTTCTGGTGGCATATGTATGAGGCCAGTGCATTCAACCTAAGTTTGGCATAGAATACTTTATAACATAGTTAATGGCATAAACACTTCACCGCACACAAACAAGTATCTGATCGAGTATATCAGCAGGTGTAGCCGTAGTCTGAGAGAAAAATCAATGGAAGTGGACGCTGGCTGTGGATCATCTGCATAAGCGTGGAAGCATGTAAGATTTTAGCACTTGGGCTAGCGCTAGCCCTAGGCTACTGGCAATGACATGTCCATGGAGAAACTGCTTTTCCCACACTTGACCGCGTTATCAGGCATTCCGCGACAAGGATCCCCGATTGAGCTAAGCTATGAGCATACGGAGTACTAATGTACAGTACAGTACAGTACATTTGAGCGGCCCGAAATCAGCTGAATGTCGGCAAAGCCATGAGCCGCTTACGCTTACCCCTATGTCCCTTTGTTTGTGCTGCACCTTCGTCTCCCCTTTATAACTCTCCCTCGTCCTTCTCTTCTATAACTTCGTCTCCACCATACACATACGCATAAAAATATATTTTCCGACAAGTCACAATGACCACACCGGAGACCTAACCAACGCCGATTCAATACGCCAGCTCTTCGCGAATGTGCAACCCAAGATCGTCATCCACACCGCCAGCCCGAAATTCGACGCCCCAAACCCCATCCTCTACAAAGTGAACGTCGAAGGCACGCGAACCCTCCTCCAGATCGCGCAAGAATCAGGCACTTAATGCTTCGTATACACCAGCGACGCCAGCATCATCAGCGACGCCCAGACCGATTTGGTAAATGCCGACGAGACCTTCCCCGTGCTTCTCGAGCAGAGCCAACAGCCGGAGTTCTACGTCTACACCAAGGCCCTTGCGGAGTCGTACGTCCTGTCCCAGGACCAGCGCCAGCGCCGGCGAGCCACCCACCCCTTCCTGACCTGCGCGATCCGGCCCTCGGGCATCTTCGGCGTCGGCGATCTCGTCGTGCTCCCGGGCATCCTGGACGCGTATTTCCGCGGCCAGACGCAGTGGCAGATTGGCGATAATCAGAATCGCTTTGACTTTCCGGAGAGTACGAACGTCGCGCACGCGCATTACCTGGCGGCTGCGGCGCGGGTGGCTCAACTTGAGAAATGTCACGACTCGCCGGATGATGAGGATGATGAGGGTGACGATGACAAGACAAAGGTGGATGGGGAGGCCTTTTTCATCACCAACGATGAGCCGCGCTGCTTCTGGGACTTCACGCGGCTGGTGTGGACGTTCGCGGGGGATACGACGCCGCGCGAGCGGGTGTGGGTGATACCCCGGCCGTGGGCCCTACGCCTGGCCGGCGTCTTGGAGTGGACGTTCTGGGCACTGGGGCTGGGCCAGCCCCCGTTGACCCAAACCGAAGTGCGGCTCAGCTGTATGACGCGGTATTTTTGCATCGATAAAGCGAAGACGCGGCTTGGGTATCGGCCGGTGGTGGGGCTCGAGGAGGGACTGCAGCGCGCGGTGGAGGACTGTTTGAGTCGGCGGGCCGCTGAGGACGAGGGCCTGAAGAAACGTTCTTGAGAAGATGGTTTCCTGAAAAACGGTAGCGCGTGGGACTGTGCCTTTCAAATGAACTGATATAGATAGGAGACATCTTCGTGAATATGAATTCCGAGTCGATCCGGGGCTTGAGGAAGGGGTTGTATTCTACTGCGTTGGAGAAATAAATATCCATGAGGATGACGCGTAGGACTACCATACCAAATAACTCGAAAACCACAAATCATAGCAGAATTGGTCCTTGACTACGTCCTGTCCAAGGGTCGATCCATATACATACTCCCCTCTAACACACACCCACAAAAGCAATATTCTTAACCAGGCAAAACCCAGGTCGTCACCGACTCCTCGGGCACATTTCCACTCCACACCGCGCCCGACCCCAACGTCACCGTCACATACACATCATTCCCAAAGGTATTCTGGATCACTACCGTGCGCGACCCATCCGGGTTCACCGAGGCCACCGACTGCACGCCGCCCCCGTTGTCATACGTGTAACTGCCTGTCCCGCTCACCACCACCGCCCCGGGGGGTATGAACTTGCTGAACTGCGCCATCATGTAATACGCCGTGTTCAACGTGTAGCTCGTGGCGCTGTTCACCGTGACCAGCCCGTGGCAGGTGGCGCATCCGCCCGAGGAGAGGTGCGGCCCGTCGTTGGCGTCGGTGCCCAGCGTCCACGCCATGACGCCCGCGGCGTAGTTCTGTAGCGGGCCCATCGTAAAATCCGCGGCTTGGTGCCACGCCCCGGACGCCGGTGTCCAGCATTCCGTCATGTATTGTTCGGTATTTGGGTTCGAGGCGTGGAAGCTGGAGAGGACGGTCCAGTCCACGTTGCTAGCGTAGCAGTGCCAGGCGACGGCGGGGACGTAGGTGCTGGCGCCGCTGGAGAGGATGGTTTGCGGGTAGCTTGGGACATCTTCGTGCACATTAGTGAGTGGCGTGGGGAAAGGGGGATAGGGGAGATAGGGTTAGGGAGCAGGTACCGGTATTGTGGTCGTAGGCCCAGACCTTTGTGTCGAGGCCCGCTTGCGCCAGGGCGGGGCCGACGTATTTCTCGATCAGGTCCGCCGACTCGTATGCATACACGTACATGGTCGGGTAGCCTGCTTGGCTGTTCAGAGGCTCGTTCTGGATGGTGATCGCATCGATCGGCGCTCCCAGGTTGGTGTACGCTTGGATGTATTTCACAAAGTACTGCGCGAAGGCGGCGGCGTAGCCCGTGCTGCCTGTGCCGCCGCTGGTCAGGTACCCGTCGTTCAGGTTGTTGTTGGTCGTGCTGCCGTCGATGACGCCGTTGAGTTTCATCCACCCCGGCGGACTCCAGGAAGAGCCCAGAATCGTGAGGCTGGACTGCAGGGTCTTCATTGTGGCGAGGAGCTTGGCCATGGCGGTGCCCCGATCGCCCAGGTTGAAGCCGGTCAACGACGGGTCGACAGCGTTGTTATTGTCGTCGTAGGTGTAGGCTGGGTCGCCGGAGAGGTCGGATGCGCCGATGGTGTGTCGCATTAGAGCAAAATTTGCGCCGTCAGTGGTCATCAACTCATTCAGCAGCTGTTGGAGCGTGGCTTGGTTCAAGGTGTTGAAGGATGTCACGGTCGCGTCGGTGACGGCCGCCCCGAAGCCATTGATGGTCTGCCGGTGGCCGGACGCGGTGTCGTCGACAGTGAGCTTCCACGTAGACGCAGAGCCGGGACTGCCGTTGCCTTGCACGGGGGCAGCGATGGAGCTGAGTTTGTAGTTGCCCGCCGAGTTGGAGCTGTATGCGGCGGCCTCGGTGGCGCGTTTTCCGCTGACCGCGGCGTGGCCGACGGCAATGAAGCCGGCCAAGGCACCTAGGTTGACAAGCATTATGGTGGTGGCTTGCTTGGTTTGTATGCTCTCAAGTCGTGCAGACTGGGTGGTGAGACCCTGGAGATAAATAAGCAGCTGGAATGCAAGGGGTGGTGGGGATTGTCTCCACAACTGACTCGCTTCTTGGCATTGGCTGTTTCAGGGCCAATCCTGTTATGCTCCAAGTGTTGGTTGGTAGCATTGGGGGCCGACAGAAGAGCCAGTCATCATGTCCCAGGTGCTGCACAGCCTGCTCAGCAGGATTCAAGTAGTTTAGAGTCGATCGGGAGCTGCCTTTTTGGGAGAGTGGTCCCTGACCAAGGACCTGTTGACGAAATGAAAGGGGCCATCTTTGCCTATCTGGGATGCGATCGAAGGCGGGGGAAAGCTTATTCGGCTGTCCGTCGGAGCTGATATTCGAATTATAGTCCCTTCTGGTAAGCTTCTTGGGAAGCTGCTGAAAGAACACTCTCAGTGTGTTGTATTAGCCCTCGTATAGTGGCGATTGACAGGCATGAGGCTTTCAAGGTGGTCTAGTGCATTTGGCTGCAATTCAGTGCTCGAGACCCGATACATTTCCGTTGGCGGGTCTTGAGGACGAATTGGCAACAGATGTTTGCCATAATTTACGCAACAACTAGATTGAGCTCGTATAGACACTCGAAGGGCCATGAGCCAGAGTATGAGGGCGAGGAAACAGTGACAAGATATAATCAAGAGTATTGAGATGTTGAAGAAATTGAAGTGTTCGAGTGTCGGAGACATCGAGCGTGCCTGTAAAGTTACCTTATCTCCACGTGACCATCATCACAGCACTGATTCAGGGGATACAGTACATGTCAGGCAGGTGGCATACACAGTGCCTAGTCTAGAGTCTCAAGAATACACTGGTACTTGTCATCATCAGATGTAATGCACCTGGATAGAGAAAATACCTCGGGCAAGTGCTAGACGAAGCAGAGGCACATTCGGTAGGTAGCCCGCTCAGTCCCTCACAGCTGGACATTCGTCCCCAGCCATGCCTCCTTCGTGGACTTGGGAGAGAGCATGTCCCCAATTTGGTCTTCGTACTCCATTGTGTGAGCCTGTCTGACCGAATCAAAGGGGTTAGTCCGGGAGGATGGTATACGAGGCCAAGTGTTAACCAGCTCTGCGGGCGAGATGTCCGAATCGGGTTTGATTGGCACAGGGAGCATGCAGGTCACCCTCACGAGAGCTGTACACTGACGACGATCCCCAGTGGCACCTTCATGACCTTGACCTTTCTAGAACAGAGGGTTAGTTTAGATCCGCTACTATTGACCTCACCCTTCAAATTGAGCCTTCTCAAGCTCAAGAAAGAGGGTTGGCAGTGGATTTCTGGCCTGATTTGCGGAGATCGAGATGCTTGGATGAATCATGTTGCCCAATTAAACCGTCCTCTCGCTCTCCGTAGAACGGTTCAATAAGCGTGGAAAAAAGCTTGACATGTCCTGCTGCGGGCTATCCCATGTGCCGTGCGCCGTGCATCAGGCAGAAGGAAACGGTCCAATCGAGTCTGCCTCCTATAATCTTGAGCTCAAATCTCTAATGAAAGAAGACCGAGCCACAGTTAATGACGCCAGAAAGACAGGGCCGCGTCTGTGTCAAGCATATCGCCCAGTGGCAGCGTCTGGTGTCTCTGGCATAACCACCAAGGCATATCTGGATAATCATGCCGCCCTAGTAGAACCCAGCAGAAGATCCTCCCATCTGGATCCTGCGCGCCATCCAATAGCTTCACCCGCAGATCAAACAGGCTTCGTCAGTTAGACAGGGAATATGGTTAAGTGGAGTTCTGCTCTCTGTCAAGTGTGAGAACTCGAAACTATATCTCAAATCGTGTCGGTGGACTTCGCTACTGGAGGCGACCGAATTGAGCACACGTCAGGGTCAGCAATGAAACTGCGGATATTTAGAACAGCATTCTTCGGATACTCGGATAATTCAAGCAGGCTTCGGATATTTAAAGCAAGATGCGGATATTTGCTCGGATATTTTTAGAGTAAGAAGAGGGTTCTTTCTTCCTGTCCAAAGTAGCGTAAGGTTGTATGTTATGAGAATGGCGGAGAATGCGGAGAATGCGGAGATGAAATGAACGTGTCATGTGACCCTCCGCCGGAGCTCGGACTTAAATGCTTGCCTTAAGCCTCAGGCATTCAGCACGCCATGTTGCATATCTTGTTATCACAACGCCTTTTTTCCTTTCACCCTTCCTCTTCCTCAGCCATCAGCATCAATTTCCGTTGTTCTTCCTCGGCATTACCCCAGCTCCTTGATGTAATTTACCCCTGAGTCCCCTCCTGAGTCCCCTGACTAATGCACGTAATATCAGCCCACGTCACCCCCTGCATGGGTTCTCGGTGTGTATTTCTCCGTGAACCCCTCATTTCCCCGCTCGTTGCTTAATCTAATTTTGATTATTCCAAGTCTGCACCAATCGCTTATTCCAAAATCCAACGCTAGAGCCTGCATGATGCCTATAGCCTGAAGACCAGGATGAGCCCACCAAACGGAGGAAATTGCCCTTGCTCTCGGCAATACCGTCAGTGTCCACCATGGCACCGGAGCTCAAGGGGAGAGATAATGGCTATAGATACTTAAAGCCGAGTGCACGGTTGTAGAACGAGATTTCCTTGGTACCTCACAGCCCCAGCGGATACTCACTATGAAGCTTTGGTCGTCCTTGCTGCTCGGGGCGAGTCTGCTCACCGGGTCTCGGGCAACTACCGACGGTCTAACAGACCTGGTGTCCTGGGATCCGTATAGTTTGTCCGTGAATGGCAACCGACTCTTCGTTTTCTCGGGCGAATTTGCCTATCCGAGACTTCCTGTGCCTGAACTATGGCTTGATATCTTCCAGAAGATGCGTGCCAATGGATTCAACGCAGCCAGGTGTGTGAACACAACTACTTCGAGAATTGGGCCTCTGATTCACTCTCATTGACAATTCAATATTGAGACTGATAACGATGTAGTGTCTATCTTTTCTGGAACTTTCACTCGCCCGTCAATGGAACCTTCGATTTCGAGACTGGCGCCCACAACATCCAGCGTCTGTTCGATTATGCTCAGGAGGCTGGAATCTATCTTATTGCCCGGTAAGCCGTTATGACCAGGCTTCACTAATACAAACTGATCAGCGATGCAGGCCAGGGCCCTATGACAATGCTGAGATTAATGGAGGCGGTCTAGCACTCCACTTGAGCGATGGCAGCGGAGGCTCGTTGCGCACCGGCGACGCCACGTACACCGCGGCCTGGCAACCATGGGTGGAAGAGATTGGCAAGATCATTGCAGCCAACTCCATCACCAATGGCGGACCGGTCATTCTTAACCAGATTGAAAACGAGCTGCAGGAAACGACCCACAGCGCCAGTAATACTTTGGTCCAGTATATGATTAAGTTGGAGGATGCCTTTCGGGCCGCCGGTGTCGATGTCCCCTTCACCCACAACGAAAAGGGAATGCGATCCGAGAGTTGGTCCACGGACTACGAAGACGTTGGCGGTGCAGTGAACGTCTACGGTCTGGACTCCTATCCTGGTGGCCTCAGTTGTACCAACGAAGCCACTGGTTTCAATGTCGTCCGCACCTACTACCAATGGTTCCAGAACTACAGTTACACCCAGCCCAGTTATATCCCCGAGTTCGAGGGAGGGTGGTTCTCTGCTTGGGGAGCATCTTCCTTCTATGACACCTGCACGAGCGAGCTTAGCCCGCAGTTTGCGGATGTGTACTACAAGAACAACATCGGCCAGAAGATAACGCTTCAAAGCATCTATATGACCTATGGTGGTACGAACTGGGGTCATCTAGCAGCGCCTGTTGTCTACACCTCATGTGAGTTACTCGTGTTTATCGAGAGCCATGGCAATACTGACTAGATATAGATGACTACAGCGCTCCATTGAGTGAGAGCAGAGTGGTCCGGGATAAGATGAGCCAAACCAAGCTTATTGGTCTATACACAAGAGTGTCGACCGGACTGCTTACCGCCGACATGGAGGGCAACGGAACAGGCTACACATCCAGCACATCTGCGTATACCTGGGTGCTCCGGGACTCGCAATCAGATGCCGGGTTCTACGTTGTGCAGCAAGCGACAACCTCTTCACGCAGTTCCCTGACCTTTGATCTGGACGTGACAACCTCCGCGGGCAATGTTACGTTGACCGACATCAACCTCGATGGACGACAAAGCAAGATCATCTCCACCGACTACCCGTTGGGCCATAGTACGCTTCTGTACGTGTCTACCGATATCGCCACCTACGGAACCTTTGGCGACACCGATGTGGTTGTGCTATACTCCCGGGTTGGTCAAACTGCGTCCTTTGCGTTCAAAAATCCCGGCCGCCTCAACTTCACAGAGTATGGGCCATCCGTCAATCTGACTCAGAGCTCCGGAAATTCAACCACGCCATCGTACACCTACACCCAGGCCAGTGGTACCAGTGTCGTTCAGTTCTCAAACAAGACGATCTTCTACCTCCTGGACACCGATACAGCATTCCGATTCTGGGCACCACCGACCACGAATGACCCTTACGTGACTGCTGACCAGCACATCTTTGTCATTGGGCCCTACCTGGTCCGCAACGCCTCCGTCGACGGAAGTGTTGTCAATCTCATTGGAGACAACGACAACACAACTACCATCGAGGTCTTTGCTGGCTCATCGGTGAACACTGTGAAATGGAATGGCAAGCGCATTTCCGTGACCAGAACCGGCTATGGCAGTCTGGTCGGATCCATTGACGGGGCTTCCAGCACGATCTCCCTGCCCGCTCTCAGTGGCTGGAAGGTCAAGAACTCGCTGCCCGAGCTTGACTCCGACTACGATGACTCGAATTGGACTGTGTGCAACAAGACTACAACGCTGAGCCCCGTGCAGCCCTCTACTCTGCCTGTTCTCTATGCGTCCGATTATGGCTACTACACTGGTATCAAGATCTACCGTGGACGCTTTGATGGCGCAAATGTTACTGGCGCCAGCCTCACCGCTCAGGGGGGTGTGGGCTTTGGGTGGAATGTTTGGCTGAATGGTGACTTGGTTGCTACCCTGCCGGGCGATGCTTCCGCTACCTCATCAATCGCGACTTTGGACTTCAGCAACCAGACGCTCAAGGATACGGACAACCTTCTCACTGTTGTGGTATGTTCACCTTCCACTTCTCCTTTTACATATTTCATGCTAATCCTGTTACCATAGATCGACTATACCGGTCACGATGAAACCTCCACAGCCAAGGGCGTGGAAAACCCTCGTGGCCTTCTCGCTGCGACACTGACTGGTGGAAGCTTCACGAGCTGGAAAATCCAGGGCAACGCTGGAGGAGCTGCCGGTAGGTCCTCTCGTGCATCTCATCAACAAGTCTATACCAAATCTAATAAGGTGCTAGGAGCTTATGAGCTGGACCCCGTTCGTGCCCCAATGAACGAAGGCGGACTGCTGGCCGAACGCCAGGGCTGGCATCTTCCGGGCTATAAGGCCCAGTCATCGGATGGCTGGACTTCAGGATCTCCTCTCGATGGGCTGAACAAATCTGGTCAGTCTTACCTTTTTTCTATGGACAGTGAAAGGGTGTAGTAGAATACTAATTTTGGATAGGCGTCGCATTCTACCTAACCACATTCACCCTCAATCTGCCTAAGAGCTACGACGTCCCACTTGGCATCCGCTTCACCTCCCCATCCACCGTCAACCCCGTTCGCATCCAGCTGTTCATCAACGGCTACCAATACGGCAAGTATGTCCCGTACCTGGGGCCCCAGACTACGTTCCCAGTTCCCCCTGGCATCATCAACAACCGGGACAAGAATACCATCGGTCTGAGCGTGTGGGCCCAGACTGATGCGGGTGCCGCCTTGGAGAACATCGAGCTTGTCACCTATGGTGCCTACGCGAGTGGGTTCGATGCTGGGTCGGGCACGAGCTTCGATATGAACGGTGCGAAGCTGGGATACCAGCCTGAGTGGACAGAGGCTCGGTTGAAGTATACTTAAGAGATGGCGTGTATTTGAGATTGGTTTTGAGATGGAATCCGGGTAGTATGAATGCACTGCGCCGTTCTTGATTCAATTCGAGTGAATATTTTAGCAGTGTTTATTTCGTTATAATAGCAATAAGTTCTCAATTATCTCTCCTCTCTCATTCTAATCTACAACCCATCCATGAATGATTCCAATCCGTAGTTACTCCACATACCAATACCAACTCGTCGTAACCCTATATATCAGTCTCATCCAACAGCTTGTCTCACTCCTCGGCCAGCGCAAACCGATCCAAGAACTTGAAAGTATACAAGCCCTCCAACACCTCCGCGGCCAACCCCGTCGCATTCGCCCCGACATACACTCCGTCCCTCCCGACCTCAATCCCGGCCCCCTTCAACGCCCGCTTCCCACTGCCCACCGCACCAACCGGCTTGCCATACCGAAACGCGTCAGCCAGGATCTGCCCCGGCCGACCAGGAGGATACAGGGTCGTCGCATTGCCCGTGGCAAACAGCCCCTCCACCCCATCGGCCACTACCACCGCGTCAAACCCAGAAGCGTCAGACAGCGCATACGTGGAATTCACGCCGTCAGCCCACACCTCCGCCACCACCTCAACATCGACCCCATGGACCGCCAGCATACTCGCCAACTCGGCCCCCAACCGCAGCGACCGCTCCACCTTGGTCGAGGCCAAAACCCCGACCGACAAGCCCTCAACACTGAGCAACCTCTCCCCAAACGTCCCGACATTCACCGTCTTATTCGCCGTATAATACCTGCCCTCGGGCTCCGGCACCTCCAACCCCAACCCCCTGGCCACCCTGCTCGCCAACCCATGATCCACGCGATTCAACTGCGCGACCACATTCCGTCGCACCTGGGGACTCGTCACCTTCGAATTCTCAAACACAATCGCATTGACCACCATCTGCTGCTCCGCCGGCACCAACGAGTTCCAGAACAAGGCCGGCTGGGACCAGTGATCGGCGAAGGTGGGGCTGGGCTCGCGCACGAGATGGCCGCTCACGTAGCGGTAGGGGGAAGTGAAGAACCCGTTCCCGGTGGTCTGGTTCGCCTGGCGCGGGGCGGTGTCGCTGCCCATCGTGTTGGGCGTGTAGGCCCAGTTGTTGGTGGGGATCTGCTGCTGGCCGAAGCCGTCGCGGTTGTTGTTGTGGACGGGTTTCCGGGGTCGGTTCACGGGCAGTTGCTCGAAGTTGGGCCCGCCGTGGCGGTTCACTTGCGTGTCGAGGTAGGAGAAGAGTCGGCCTTGGAGGAGGGGGTCTTCGGTGAAGTCGATGCCGCGGACTATGTGGCCGGGTTGGAACTGGGGAGGGTATTTTTGTTAGTTGAGGGGTGCTGGGAGAGGCTAAGGGGATGGAGGATGGGTAGAGGGAGAGGGTTAAGGGAGGGACGTACGCCAACTTGTTCCACTTCCGCAAAGTAGTTGGTTGGATTGGCGTTGAGCTCCATCACGCCCAGTGGGGTGAAGGGGACGAGGTCTTCGGGGACGAACTTGGTCGGGTCGAGCAGGTCGAAGCCGAAGCGCAGCATGTCGGATTCGTCCATGATTTGGGCGCCCAGCTTTGTGGATGTTAGTTACGCTGAATCCTTGTGGTGCCTTGAAGAAAAGAAACACACCTCCCACTTGGGGTACCGGCCGTTCGCAATGGCATCGTGCAGATCCTGCCGGTGGAAGTCACTGTTCTTGCCGGCCGTGGCCTGCGCTTCGTCCCACACCAGACTGGCCACCCCCTGCAGCGAGCGCCACCGGTACCGGACCACCTTGCTGGTGCCGTTGGCCGCCACGAAGCGGAAGCTGTGCACGCCGTAGCCGTTCATGTGGCGGTACGAGCGCGGGATGCCGTGGCCGGACATCAGCCACAGGGCGCTGTGCAGCGCCGTGCTCTGCTGGCTGAAGAAGTCCCAGGCCGAGGTGTGTGCTGTCGCCGCCTGCGGGATCTCGTTGTGTGGCATAGGCTTGATGGCGTGGACGAGGTCGGGGAATTGGATGGCGTCCTGAATGAAGAAGGGGGCGATGTTGACGCCGACGATATCTATGATGGATGCCTATGTTAGTGTGCATGTCTCAGGGGCTGGCGAGTGTGGCGCTCTGACATACCGTAGTTGCCCTCATCCGTGTAGAACCGACAAGCGTGGCCGTGAACATCCCGTGCAGTATCAACACTACCTCGGAATCCAACCACAGTCGAGAAGCGACAGAACATGGGAGTCTCCTTGTCGGCGGCACTAAGGAAATCGGCAGCAGTCACGTTGGAGAAGTCGCCGTAAGATCGGAAGGTACCGTACGCACCGGCACCACGTGCGTGCACCACTCGTTCGGGGACCTATGGAAGCAAGGAGATTGCCAGATTAGATATGCAAAAAGTTCAGAATAGATACGTGTCTCTCACCCGCTCATGATCGAAACGCTGCAGCTTCTGCCGGAAGATAAAGTCCTCAAGAAGGGTTGGCCCTCTGTGTCCAGCCTTCAGACTCCATTGGTCCGAGATCGGAGTACCAAAGTCGGTGGTCATATAGCTGTCAGTATCATTAAGGTAGAGCGACTGGTCGATGGGCTGTTCGACGACCTCGATAGTGTCAGTTGGGTTGTCTGCTCGCTCGGTGAAGCGAGGGGGAGTCCTCATTTCGCCGGATAGAAACGGGCATTGCGCCCGAGCTAGACCAGCAACAGCTGGCAAAAGCCAAAGATGGCGCATTCTGTTGCAAGAGATGATGGGAGTTCAATTCTGTAAGCCCTTTTGCTTAATCGTCGCTTGGATGATCATGAGATGGATACCCTTGCAACCACCTTTATATCCGTCTCAGATGGACGTGAGTGGGCAGATCGGACACCTTAGTTAAGCTGGCGATTCCAGACTCGCTGTTCGATAATCAACTCAAAACTGTTCGATGTTGGCAGCGCATCACAACCTGTTTGGGTGAAGAGGATCCACTCTCCTCGCTCCATTCTTGCGACCGACGCAGTCATGGGTGGCACAACAATGGGTGTAGGCTACATCGTATGAGACAACACAAGGCAGTCGAAAGCACAGACGCCGGTTCGATTGTCATGGAAAGCCTTCTGGAAACAGGAAACAGGGCTGAATATGACGGGAATACGGAGCCCGGGATAGTATTAGGTTGATGTTGTCGGCAATGACAGCGACAAGTATACCGCCCAAACAGCCGACACAAGCCAAGTGAGCAGACAAGTGTGTATGGGCGAGCATGCAGCACAGTACTGTACCTGGCCAAGATCACAGTCTAGCCACCAATGCTTGGTAAGAGCGAATTGGCATGGGTGGGTTAAGTTAGGGCTGGGAACGCCCGACTGGAGCGGGTGCTTGGTAATCCCAACGACCTCGACCGTTCCCCGGGGTCCACTATTGTCCAAGCAACCTAATCGCCACGACTGCCACCTTCCCATGCTTTATTCAGCCACCAAAATGTGCTGAATGGATTATTTCAACCCCATGCGACCTTACTGGATGGAGTTTCTGCGCTCTCTGGGCGGTCAGCCATAATGGTCTGATCTGCTCCACTCAGAGAACCCCAATTTCCAAGGCAGTCAATTGATTTCACCGGTTTGAGGCTTCTATAATATTCTGCAGTCGTTGCCGAGGCATCCAGGACGCGGCGTGATGCAGACTTCTGACTGCCGATGGAGTCTACCTTCCTGGCGTGTAAAGGTGTGGAACATATCATTTTCTTGGCACCGCTGGCAAGACGATGCATCCATCGGAGGCGCTGATCCTCATGAAAGACCGCAATGAACTGTCTCATGAAGGTTTCACGAGTATGAAGATCTTCATTGTGATGCTTCTGCTTTTCCTCCTCGTATACTGTCAAGCAGATTTTTTAAATGATGGGTGAAGTGAAATGCTGCTACGCTCATTCGGTCGACAGAACATGCATTTTAACCTGGAAAGAGCAATAAGGTACTGCTGATGTTATGCTTGATCTCTTTTGTCAAACCTTTCTGCAATTTTCACTCTGGATCTTCCGAATCCAGCACTCAAAGTGCATCTTCTGGATGATACAACAGGCACAGTATTCTAGAGTGACCTTTGGCTGTCATTGTTACGTGAACTGGGCCATAAATATATAATTTGAGCATAGGCACAAGCATCTTATCAAATCTTGACAACCCACAGTTTTGCCAGCATAGAGCACAGCTTTGTAACTGGAGTCTCTCACAGTAATCTCAGACATCAAGGAAGTATGCCACGACTTGCGGTTTTCAATGAAGCAGAGGACTATTGATGCATTTCAGGAGTTCTTGGCAGGGAAGGCGAAATAAGAAGGCGGTCAGATGAGGACCAGTCATTGTGCCATAGAAACTTTACCGCTTCTGTGATTGGAAAGACATTCCGTATCCGTCCGGACCTCGGTCCACTTTTCCTGTTTTGGATATGTTCTCCGTCACCAGCTGCCCCAACATTCTAGTGAATGCTAAAGCATCTTTATGATTTAGGAGACCTTATTGCCAGAAGAAGAAAAAAGTTTCATATAGAATGTCAAGTATCTAGATCCCAGGAGCAAGATTCTCCACCTTGGCCTTCCAACTTCGTGGAAAATGCATCCCTTCATCACCATCCCATCCCCCAGCCATCATCGCCACCGCGAGCAGCAACGACGACGAAGCCGGGAAATACGGCGTGGGCACCACGGTCCCCACAGGGTTGCCCACATCATCAAACTGAAAGTTGGGGTGCAGCAGATACGAGATCGCCTCGTCGACGTTCCCCAACCTGACGGCAGTCATTGCCAACATCGGAAAGTCCCATCCGTACGACTTGGAGAAATTCCATGTCTGGGCGATGCGATCCATCGTGGCATTAACAACCGAAACATTCACACCAGCCGTCGGTGGCAGAAGCCCATACACTGCAATCTGACTCGGATGATCCGATGTATAGCTGCTCTCCGTCCACATATCCGGCAGATCTGCGCAGATGGAGTACGCGTTGTCCACGACGGGCAGCGGTGCCAGATTCTCCCGCACC